TTACCTCGCGCGAGGCGTGGATGTTTCGTGGAGGTTTCGCATGACCAAACGCCTTCCAAAACATGTCGGACGAGAGGCAAAGAAAGCGTAAAAAGATCGAGAGCATTCCTGAATATTGAAGCGAAATGAGTCGGCGCTCACCTGGGAAAAAGGAATCGCTGGACTCTTTGACAACCCGTTAAATCAGTTTAACTCGAAGTTGTCGTAACCTCAGTGCTTTAATAAAATGAGAAATTTCGCCGGTCTATTGAAACCGGTCGTTTGTACAATTTAGGGAGCGACGACCTTTGGCTTGTCAGTGTTGACTGGTAGGTAGAAAATGATTTTCATGCTGAATTTGCGACAAAATCGTAAAGATGCACTTGAAAAAATCCCCGAAATGTTTGTACATTGTAAACAAAGTTCCTACTAAGTGACGTTTTTGATTTCCAAGCGTTACTTTTTTTCAGTTTTATCCAACTGATTTGGTAAATACTAAAACAACTATCCCCCTCAGGGTCGGTGAACAGCGCTAGATATCTACCTCGACGCTTCGCGTCTCGGTCTATATTCACGTCCCCTTCGGGGGATAGTTGTATAATGTTTCACTCCAAGAAAGATGAACTTTCTGACCGAAATTTTGATGAGCATTTCGTTTCAATTTTAGTTTTTTCCAAAACTGGTCCTGATCTGCAGGTAGAAATAATCTGGCCACTATTCTATATATTTTGCTTGTCCAGTGGTCTTTGCATTGTTTATCTTAAAAGTAATGACAGGCTTACCTAGTTTAGTCTTTTTCGTGGTAAATTAACTTATGAATCCCATTCAATCCTCCTAAATGCAAAGTCGCCTTCACTTGAATGCTTGTCCGTTTAGAGTTTATGCGAGTTTAAAAACGATTGACGTAGTAACTATTAATGACTAGGAATAAATTCGAAACAGCGGTCAGGAGTGATCACATATGACACTCACGCGACGAAAAGGCAACTTGAGGAGTTTAAAATCTGCGAGTAAGCCGTCAATACGGTAAGAAACAAGTCATGGATGTAAAAAAGCAGGGAAGGGTTAGGCAAGTATGAACTCATTGTATTAAGAAAACCTGTAACCTTGGCAAAGTCCCAGAACTTATTTCCCTAAAGGAGCTGTTTCACGAAAATTGCATTTGATCAAAATTCAAATGGTGGGAACTGGCACAAAATTGAGTGGAACATTAAAATAACCTCTCAAACAATTTTAAAAGAAGAGCGCTGACCTTTTTCTAAGTACCACTGAGTTATTTATTTATTTAGTTTTACTTTCCCATAGAGTGCCAAAGCGCTTAATAAAATTTTGACTTTTGTTGAGTCTGCCTAAGGATGCGTGCGAGAGCACGCAATTACACAAAACTAATGATACTTCAGTGACGTTTGAGATTCTGTATATCTAAGACGTTTTCAGTTAAAAATACCGTTGAAATTCGTGGCCCAAATTCATATACCTCATGTAATGAGTTAAAAAGTCTCCGAGATGCCTCAAGCCTTTGTTTTAAAATGAGGAAAAGTCAAAAGTTTTTGATGAGGAAATAAATTCAGTTTAAGTTCTGCATTGGCCTCATTATTTTAATAGTGAAGGTTTTGAGAGCTCAGAAGGTAGCACGTTACTGATCTCACCAATCTTATCCCTAATATAACGTTTATTTATGTGCTTGTCAGCAATAGAAGAAATGATAATTATTTAAACTCTTAAGATAAGATTTTTTCCTACGTGAACTTTACTTTCGCAGAGAAAATGACTTTAATTCTTTTTAATAACCAAGAATTTAAAATTAAAGAGTCTCCAACAAATTCGCTAATTATATATTATTATTAAAAGTTATTGTTGCTAGTTTTGTTAGTAATTTTAAAAGAAGCTGAACAGATGGTCATTATTTGCCCCTTTCACATTGTCTCCCACCCTCAAAAAAAAAATTGCAGAAATTGCATTGTTTTCGCTTTCTAGGGGGCGACTGTAATACTTACAATTCTTTGTGTGTAATATAAGCAAAGTGATAGCGGCAAGTGGCTTTTTTTATTAAAACAGCACGCGAATAATTTGATGATCATGGAAGCATATTGATTTAATGGAATTATTTTCTTTGGGAGACAGTCTGGGCAAATCAGTTGTTTATAATTCTTTACCTTTTAGCGCCTTCTTGATTTGATTTGAATTTTAAGGTTTAATTCTTTTTCAATTTTGTGATCATACCAAGTCGCCATATAAGATAGTAAGGTGACAAAAATAATCATTTTTTGACAACGAAAGTGTTGTAAATTAATCAGCTTATTATAAAGGTTCTCTAAAGAGCCGAAAATAATCATTCTACTCACTGAAGAGTTGGTAGCTTAAAGACTTGCATTGGACTGGGTGCTGATCTCAAAGGTGTAGTAAGCTGTCCAATTTGTGTATTAGTCAGAAGGGCTTGTAATATTACTTAGAAGAGTATAGTCCATTTTCTGTTAAGGCTGACCCAGATCCAGGCTAAGTAACAAAACGATAAATTAATCCAAGTGCTAAGTCCCTTCAACCCTAGTCAGCTTGAATGACTTATCCATTTCTGTAACTGCTATTCCGATTGCTTCTTTTTTTCTTCCCTGGGTAATTTGCTGGAGAGATATACTTGTACGACAACAGCTTGTTGGTGCAACATTTAAGTTAGCTGCTACTTTTCAAACATTATGAACCTGCTTGATTGAAATCTGTACTTGAGGAAGAATTAAAACTGATTATGTTGTTGCAGAATTTCCTATAATTTCTTTCCGAGGGTACCAACTACGCTAATAACAATGCTCAGAGGAAAAAAAAACGAGTATTGACGAAGTATGAATGAAAAAAAACCCGAAGAAGTTTAGCTGAATAAAATTGCGACAACGAAGGTAATGGTTTGATAAGAAAAAAGAAACAAACAAACAATTTTAATAGAAATAAGAACAGGAACAGAAACTTAGGGCGAATCAACTTATTCCCTTTTAATAAGAGACTGAGATCAATCAACCGATAAAGAGACGAGAGAAACTAGATTTTTAATTTCGTCTGAGTTTACTTACAGAGATATTTTGTTGTTTTAGCACAAGAGAATGTTATTACATTTGCCCGATAAATCAGTTTTGCTGTCCAACCTAATCCTTAATAGAAAAAACAAAATGATATAAAATAAGTGGCGAGTTATCTTAAACGAACATACCGTAAATCCTCTATTAAGCCCCCCCCCCCTTAACGGGGAAGAAAGTTAATAAGCTCCCCCTCCCTTTTAAGCCCTCCCACCCCTCCCCCTTATTATTCTTCACTCATAAATGATAGACTGTATCAATCATCAATCACGACTGTAAAACTTCGTATGAACTGATCCGGGATCTATGGCTTATTCACCCTGGAAGTTCGGCTGCGTGACCTCCAACCTTCTTGTAATTGAGATTTTCCACTTTGTGTTCTAGTTCTTTATGGAGAACTGATACCATAGTCTTTCCTAAATTAAATATACCAGCCTCTCAAATAAGCCCCCGTCTCTATTAAGCGGCCCCCATCTCAGATTTGTGTGAAATAAAGAAGCCCCCCACCCCCACGAAGGGGGGGGGGGAGGGCTTAATAGAGGATTTACGGTATAATTGCATTTAGTCTGAAAACATTTATCAATCAATGTTTCTGAAAAACGTTTATTAAATATGATTTTCTGTCCTTATAACATCTTAATACCCCAATACCAAAACAAGGGACTGAGAGGGACTAAGAAAGCATTTTTTGGCTTTCATGATTTGAAAATAGTCTGGAGAGTGGGGGCCAATTTGCCTTTGACTAACGACACAAAAGTCTGGCAGTCTTGTGTCCTCTGATGAACGAGTTGATCTGGAGGGCGAGGAGGAGACCGTTATTTTTGGCACCAAAATGTAAGTTGGTGGCCTGAAAAAGGAACAGGTAACGAGGATGATTCTCACATGCAAGGCACATATTTAGACTGAGTAAAACATAAGCTTTTAAGTGAAATGATTTGCTGGCACTATTTTTGATGATTCATCTCCTTTCCAGGCCTGAAAATGATCGTATTTTACTTGTTTGTAACGCTGTGTGCTGGAACGAGTGGTATCTTGGCAGGTAAATCTTTTATTACAGCCAACTTTACATGCACTAGCTTTACAACTTCAGAAATCAAATTGAAAACATAAAATACGCTCTTATTATTGTACGTTCTATGTCACAAAAGTTTAGATCTGAAAACATCGATTGGAAACTCAGAAAACGGGACCAATATACATATTGTAGTTTGCAACGCGCAAATTTATTCCTGAAGACCTATTAATTCGGAAAAACTATAGAAAAAATAATGAGTAAATGAAAGCTGAAAAAAAAAGAAACTTGAAGGTAATTAGAAGCAGTTGAAGAGACCCGGCCCTGACGCAATTCCTATGACATGTGAAGTGAAATTAATATCATTATGGTTACACTGTCTTATTTATTACCGCCGGTTTCTGCAATAATTATTTTAAAGATATACGAAACTTACCTTTAATTAATAAAACTACTTTGGAAGTAGGGAAACTGATTCAAAAGCTCTTTAAGTACGAGTAAGCTTCCAGCCGGAATGTACATCAAGTAGAGTAATCGCATTAGAGACTCAGACTCATAATCTCAAAAGAGGCCACAGAAGGCTAGTCGCTCCCGATTATAACAAGTATGCCGCCGGCAGATTCCACATTAGCTGATTTCATTCAAATTAAAGCATACAGATACAAGCAATATGCATACAGATACAAGCAATATGACTTGCGGGTCACAAGCTTTGTTTTCTGTTTTTCACTGACTAACATGGTTGGTTGAAGGATGTTACTAAGATACCGGCTTCTAGCCAATTGGAAAAACCTTTGCCAATTTCGCTCTGGATGTGGCACACGCGCAGAGCTTCTTCGTTTTCTTAGCTTTTGCCCATGCGCGTATCTAATATAGTGGGTACCTCTAAACTCGAGTGGTGAACCCTTAATTGCGATTTAATGCAATGCTGATAAAGGAAACAA